TATTTGCGCGGCTTGGCCAAATCTCCGGATTTAGGTAAAACAGCAGATGGTTGCTTGAGTGAAACTCGTGGCTTGTAGATGGTAGAAAACATCTCAAATAAGGACACATGTTTGCTTCAGTCGATTTATACGATACAAAGACTCACAGTGTTAAACTAAACGTGCATTTTCTGTGGTAAACTGGTTATAATTGCACTGCATTTGTCGAAAAGAGAACGGTATCTATTTTTTAACATATGTATATATATTTTTAAATTTAAGGTAAAAGGTTGTAGCTATGTGGTTGTCAGAACTTTACCATACAAATACGGTGACAATATTACAAGAGTTACGGAATGGCACAGAATTAGCCATAAAAAGTCATTAAAAATCTCTATGAAAGCCAATAAATAGCTCATGCTATAACATAAACTAAAGTACAATGCAGATAGGGAATTATGGGTAGCCTATGCACATTTCCACATTAATAATATATGATTCTTACTTGTAGCCTATACCTAATAAAATTGAATATATTAATAATAATTATTACTCTTATGTATTACAATATTTCACTGTAAAAGTATATGTATTGCCTTGTTAAATGCCAGTTTTGTATCTCAGTATTTTATGAGATAATTAATTGTTTTTACTTTCAAATCTATATATCTATCTATCTATCTATCTATCTATCGGTGTGTATGTATGTAAGTATACACTATTTTTAACCATATATGCGTATGGTAACTTCGCCACTTTTCAGTTTTTTCCTGTAGTATTTTTATCAACAACATTTTTTACAGCGTCGGCTAACACAGTGCAATTAAGACTGTGATAAATCACTATTTGTTTTCCATGAGGCTTTGAGTCAGATGTGCAGGCTTGCAACCAAGATCCTCTAATATGCTGACCATGTTCAGATCAAAGTTTCACCATCTGTAGAGAGACAACAATGTTATATAACTTGTGTTAAAACATGTCGGTGGTTAAACAGACTGTGGCAGCTATTTTAGCCTTCATGCCATGATGAAAAAGCTACACAATCACTAACATTCATATATTCTTAAATAACTTCAGTGCCTGAAGTTGGGCATCACACAACATTACTCAGCACTATTAATGTAAAATGATAAGTTATCTTTTATTTTATTCTCTTTTTGTGTGAGGGGGACAGATATTGCACCCAATGAACCATAAATAAATTCTGTCACCAATGTACAAATGAATAACAGGTGTGATATTTAGTCTCAAAAACAATGAATCAGGCAGGTCATGCCATAGACACTGTATACATTTGCTCACAAGCATCATAAGGATGTTCCCTAATGGCAACAGATTTATTTCCACATGGTTATTTACTTTTGTTACAACTGTTGGCAGTGCAAGTCAAATTGAAACAGAGATACTTGCACTGGAATATCATACATTAGTAGTTTAGGAGAACAGTGACACCCTCCACATTGCCCGTAGGATTTTAATTAAATCTGGCCACTAGAGGGAATACATTTCAAATGAAGGAAGAGACTGAGAGCAGAAACATCTCTAATATAGGAAACATTCACTTTTATCCTCATTTAGTAGCTCTAAGTTCTTTAAACTTCACAAAAGTAATACATCATAACAAGACTGGCCTATTTTGCACAACCCTTTGTCTTTTTATCGACACTGTAGTCTAGTTACCAGCAGTGTTTATGCAAAAAAAAAACTAATTGTCTAACTTAAATGCCTCAGACTTTGGGAGAGCTGAGTTACATTTCGAAGGGCACTGAGATAAAAGACTGGGGCTGAATAGGGTTTAAAATGCCTATGTGTGTTGTCTTGTTGCACATGTTTGTTTCAGAAACTATTTGTCCTTGCATGTTTGCATGTTCAGCTTAAGCTAGCAGTTATAAAGTATCTTTGAATGTACCATATGTACCTATCTTTATTTATTTATGTAGATATTTAGCCTTAAAATATTTAAACCTTATCCATTAATCTATATAAAATATTAAATTATAACCACAGATGTTGCCACATTACTTTGTTGTGTTTAGAAAATCCTATAAATGAGAGCGCTTAAAAAGTTAGTTCTCATTCAGAGTGTTTTCTCTTTCTTCTGCAGAGCTTGGTCTTGGTGTTAAGCCAGCAATTGGGATTATTTGCTTTTAGTTTTATTTTTTTCTTCCATATTGTAAACAAAAGCCTTACTGCTGTTTGTTGTATATTTAAAAAGGATTTATCTTGTATCCCAGCACAACCTTCTGAAATCTACTACATCATTCCCAGCGGAATATGTTCTCTCTCTCTATTTTTCTCTGTATCCACTGACACAACAATCTCTTGACCTGCCTTTATAAATGCCGTACTGACCTTGGTTTAGAGTAAGACGGGCTGCACACTGATTTGTATTGGTCAAATCCTGCCATCACAAACCCTCAGATCCCTGTGCACGTGGCAGATAGTACAGTTTTGAAATTGTGAATGTGCTCTTGCTATTCAAAGACTGTTTGTCACACTGTAACAATGTTTGCCAGGCCTCTGTGTCTCAACTCTAATCCCTAGCATGTGGACATCTGTGCATCAATGAAGGCAGCACTGGAAAAACAGAAACAAGCTCCTGTGATGGGATTTATGAATGGAGTGCCTCTGCTTCAGAACTTTTTACTCAATAATATAATATAATATAATATAATATAATATAATATAATATAATAAAACAATATATAATAAAACAATTAAAATATTAAGAATATTAATTACTGTAAAAACTCCCATTAAAAAAAAAGTTAAAGTAAAATGTTTGCCCATATGGAATCAAATGCAAATATTTGCTCATTGAATCACGTTGAATGATGTTTAAAAAACATCCCAGAACGCACCTCATGAGGTTGGTTGAAAGAATTCCAGAGTGTAAAGCTCAATTGAAGTAGCTTAAATAAAATAAATAGACTTGAGTTGTTGAACATCTTTTGGTCACCTTACATTTGTGTTAATTTAAAGTTTTGATGACTTCCCTATTTCACTGAAATGTAAAAATAGGTATTTAAGTGTGTCCGACTTTTGATAGGACATATACAATAGTGCCCACAAAAAAGGGAAGTTTGATGCATGGCTCTGTAGTTCTCAGTCTGAATAATAAACTGTAAAAAAAAAAGTGTCAAAAGTCTTGTGACAGTCATAGGAGCAGACATGTGACTGCAGCAAGGCATTCTGGGTTTCTTCAGCTGTGTGGTTAGACTGGACTGTAAAGTAACATGAAGCAGATGTAGAGTTTGCTGCTAACAGCTAGCTGGGTTAAGGAGGAGTTTTTTTTTTTGCTTGGTTTTTTTTTGCTGTGTAACATAACTGAACATTTGTCATGCTGGAGCTATTTCAATTTATAATAATACAATAATAATGTATTCAAATTAATACCTAATATTTCATGTTTAATCAGGTTAATATGATTGCATTGCAGTGTTTTGTGTTTATTTGAGCATTTGTTTGTAATGTTAATTCTTTGTTTATTGTACAAAATAATTTCACAACAATTTAACTATTCACACCGACAATATCAATATCAAATTTTTAAAAAAGATGTATAAGGTGTAATTATTAATGCTTTAGCAAAAAGACACACTCACACACACACACACACACACACACACACACATGGCTCTGATCAGGATCAGATGAACGATAAAAAAGTCTAAAGTTTTGTAACCATGAATGAGCAGGTGTGTATTACCAAAAAATGCTTCAATCATTTAACGTACCCGGGTCAGAGTCAATCCTTCCTTTTAGGTATTGCAGTTTAATATGTAATAATATCAAATAAATTTCAGTGAGCACCATGTTTTACCAAGAAATTCCTGTTAAATGAGATACACGGTAAGTATCTGAAGTATCTTTTCTAGCTAATTATTTTATTGACTAGTTTGTACATTTGGTGAATAATGTGCAATGAATTGAAATTAATAGCAACTGTGTTCCGCAAACAATTTGTGCAAAACTGACGAATCTAATCTCAGTTTTTAAGATGAGTTGGATACATTTGGGACACAGCTTTTTTTTTCAATAAACAAATGCTGAATACATTCTTATAGTCTTCTCAGACTTGTCACCATGTCAGCAGGCTGTGCTGCTTTTGGCCTGTGATATTTATGGATTTGCTTGTATGTTTGTGAGTAATCTGCATATAGTATGAACAACTAACACTAGGGGACTTTCCTCGACATACATTTATATCTTAGTGCTGACCGCATGCCTATACAGTAGACATCATGGGACAATTTTCAAGTAGACCTCATGCAATGACACACTGCACAGGGAACTCAGGTTGTTGACTAACAAGCAGAAGTGTTCATGACAAGCTAACGTGGCCTCAGGAGAACGAAGTTTAGAAAAAGATTATTGATACTATCAAATCAATTGTGAGTTTGAAATCATATGTCCTCTATTTATGCCAGCTAAAATACCAACTGGAATTGTGAGCTGATGAATGCACAGAAGGTTACAAACTCTAATAATAAACTCTTAATCACATCCATCCTTTTGCAGGAACCCAACAGATATTCCCTGAAAAGCTGGATGTACTGTTTCTTTTGTTAGTGTGACTAAAACCATCTAGCCTGCTCAAATCAATGGAAATAATTAAAAACTGCTATCAGTAAGCAATTCCCAAGACTTTAAAGATAATTTAAGCAGTTTTGGTATATAAAGGAAAAGCTACACCAAATGCATTATGTAAAACTAAAGGTTGTTTATGTAAAAATAATGGATGCATATAGGAACTTCTTGCTACTGCTTGCAAATTTTTTTTTTCCTGGCAACCTTATATGCAAATAATTTCATATTATTTAAAGCTGAAAATAACACAAGGGATCTCTAAAATATTATTATAAATTCTCTTGTTAGTGGTGTTGGTTTTAGTACATTACATTTTTAATTTGAAATACAAATCTTTTTCCACGACCTTGGACACTATTCCCAACTTCCCACTTTTCCTAAAACTGTAACCTGACTCCTGACATCATCGCTTTGAGCTGGTGTTTGAACGATTCCAGATAAAGCGGGTCTTCATCCTTTTCCCGCAACAGGAGCAACTTCCTCAAAACTCCAGCATATAACGAGGTCTTCTACTAACCCAGTTTCAAACCAGTATCCACCTTTTGTTCTGAACTTCAGGAAATCCTCTAGGTAACTGAGTTTCCTCATCACCACTCTGTTTTTCTTTTTAACTCCTCGTAAATGATTTGCATTGTTTATCTGTAAAGTGTTATAAAATGCTGTTTTAATACTTGTAAAAAAACAAAAAAAAAAGTATGAAAATTCGAAACATTTGAAGTTGTGGGTGCAGCTTTGTTGCAATCACTTTCGCTTTCTTTTTATTCTTCGCGAAACCTTAAAACAATTACTTAAAAAAAATATATATATAATAACACGGTAAATCTCTTCTTGCTCATTTCAGAAATCACCACTTAATCCTCATTTCTCTAAACTGACTACATAAGTTTCACTGCGGGTCTCGTTTTTGTTTGTGGTTTACGGTTAACACGGTTGCAAGAGCACCGCGGGTGTGCTATAGTTTACATTGTGGCTTTACACCTCTGACTAGGTCTGTTTGTCAGGGCATAATGCATACATTTGGTGGAATCACCCTGCTTGTGGTGGTGGTGTGGTGTGGACTAGCTCACACTCTGGAGGATCTCACACTGGATGAAGCATGGGAGAGCTGGAAACTCACCCACAAGAGGGAGTACAATGGCCTGGTGAGTAATAGCACATAAAGACAATACAATAATATTTGTTTCCTTAGGGTGCCAAAAGAGTTAATGAATTAGATTGGGTTAGTCTTTTCATGAAAAAGCCATCTGTTTCTCCCTTCTCTGGAAAAAAGAGGGGAAAGCTAGCTTGTATTTTTTAATGACTACATTGATTGGAGTGTAACGGCTAAATCCCTTTCTAATAGGGCTGTGCTTTTACATGCACTGCGGCTCAATAAAGAAAATTAAAAAAAGAAAATCTTACAGCCTTAGGATCTGTTAGTTATTTTATAGAGTTTTAAGTATTATGTGCAAATTCCACCTAAATCCTCACTTAAAGGTGCCATGCATTAGAGTATAAAATAGATACATCTCAATTAAAGAAATAGTTCAACCAAAAAAAATAAAAAATGAAAATCTGCTGAAAACTTACTCACCCATAGGCCATTCAAGATGTAGATGAGTTTGTTTGTTCATTGAAACAGATTTGGAGAAATTTAGCATTACATCACTTCCTCATCAATGGATCCTCTGCAGTGAATGGGTGCCGTCAGAATGAGTCTAAACAGCTGATAAAAACATCACAATAATCATCAAGTAATCTACATTACTTCAGTCTATCAATTAACTCAAACAAATCCATCGAGACATTTTTAACTTCAAACAGTTGTTTCCGGCTAAAATATGAATCCTCTTTTGATTATTATCATTTCCAGGGTCATGCAATGTATCATCAGCTGGTGGTTTGTATACAGTTTGGGAACCACTGGCCTACATCATTCAGTATCACTCATTGTTTGTGTCAAGTGTTTACATGTGTGCTTTATGGTGGACAGGATGACGAGTCTATTCGACGGGCGATTTGGGAGAAGAACATGCTGTTTATTGAGGCCCATAACAGAGAGTACGAACTGGGGATTCATACCTATAATCTGGGCATGAACCATTTTGGAGATATGGTAAGTGCCATAATTCAGTCTACTAATAATTTGCTGCTGTAAAATGTTTAACGCATTGTTTTTCAAACATTTGCCAGTCTAATATGTTGGAAAACAGCTGTATATGTGTGATCCTGCCCCTTTAAGTTTAAGATGTCACAATCTTGCTAAACCTTGTTTGCGGAGTAAACTGGACAACAGGAATGTTCCAACAACAACATATGTATTATAAAGGAAACTAGATCCAAGTAACTTGATAACATTTTTGAGGGTTGATCAGCATTTTTTTTTTTTGTCTAATGCTTATCTCTCTGCAGACACTAGAAGAAGTGGCAGAGAAAGTCATGGGACTTCAAATGCCCATGTACCGGGACCTAACTAACACATATGTGCCTTATGACACAGTGGAAAAGTTGCCCAAATCAATTGACTACCGTAAACTGGGATACGTCACTTCTGTCAAGAACCAAGTGAGGAAATATTTCAAAATATTTCAGTAATGTTGCGGTAATATTTCCTCATTCTGAGAAACTCTCACACGATCAATCCTATCCTCATGTGCTTTCACGCAAATTTCGACAGAATGAGGGTTACCATCTAACTTTAATCTATACCATCTAGCTATCATTTGTTTTTTCAAGCCAACTATAGTTATCACTGTACTTAAGTGCCATTAAGTGGTCAAAAAGATTATTTCTCCACCAGTATATCAGTGTTTTAGGCTGTCTTCAGTGTTTTTTTTCCTTTTGCTCACCTCAGGGTTCTTGCGGCTCATGCTGGGCCTTTAGCTCTGTTGGGGCTTTGGAAGGTCAGCTGAAGAAGACTAAAGGTCAGCTGGTAGACCTCAGTCCTCAGAACCTGGTGGACTGTGTGACTGACAACGATGGCTGTGGTGGAGGATATATGACAAATGCCTTCAGATACGTCAGAGACAACCAAGGCATTGATTCAGAGGAGAGCTACCCCTATGCTGGAATGGTAATAGTTAGCCTTATGCTAAATGGCTTAAAAGGCTAAAAGTGTTTTTGCGTAACTAAACAAATGAAATAAAAAATGACTTTATCAATGTTATTTGGTTAAAATGGAAACAAAGACACAGCCAACCAATGATTTGATGACCAATGACAGTAATTTACAATACTTAGTAGTTCACATTTCGAAACTCTTCAAACAGTGAGCATTTTTCTATTGCTTTGGCACTAAATTCATTAAATGATTACATCTTTCAAGTTACACTGTTTTTGGTGTTATTTTAGGTCATTGTTTTATGAGTGACAAAGTTCTACTTTTACTACTCTAATGGAAGAATGACTTGATTTGAGACATGAAGTGTTTTGGTTGTTTTAGTACATTTTGGATGTGCCCAGCTGAAAGTTTTTAAGGAGATCTGTGTAAAGAATTTTGAAAATGGGAACTAAGTATTAAGAAATGTGTCCTAGAGATTGTTTAAAAAAATGTTGACGTCATAATTTTTAATCTCACTACTGCCCCCTGCAGGACCAGCAGTGTGCCTATAACAGGTCAGCAAGAGCGGCCAGTTGTAAAGGGTATAAAGAGATTCCTCAGGGTAATGAGAGAGCACTGACTGCTGCCGTGGCAAAGGTGGGACCTGTATCAGTGGGTATAGATGCCATGCAGTCCACCTTCCTGTACTACAAAAGCGGTACTTGACATCACTTTTACATCTACGTAGTGTTTTGTTGTTTTGCTGAAATGTTTATAGTGACGGTCCCTAATAAGACTAAAATCTTGATCCCTGCTATGTTCAAAACCCATTTTTAGGTGTATACTATGATCCCAACTGCAACAAGGACGATGTCAACCATGCTGTTCTAGCTGTTGGCTACGGAGTCACACCAAAAGGGAAAAAGTACTGGATTGTGAAGAACAGGTACGAAAAATTTGCTGGGAGCAGTGCACAGCATTGTTTAAAATAATGAATAAAAAAATTAATTTAAATGATTTATTTTAAATAAAAAACATAATGATTAAGATTAATCATTTAAAAAATATGATTAATTTTAAAAATGACATTTAAATTAAAAATATTAATTTTTAATTTTTAAAAGAATAAATAAATTTCCATGTTGTCAGAGTCAGCATGTATTCGTGTAAAATTCTCCTAATCCATCTGTTTTTTTGTTTCTGTTCCTGAAGTTGGGGTGAAGATTGGGGGAAGAAGGGGTACGTCCTGATGGCTCGTAACCGTAACAATGCATGTGGCATTGCCAGCCTGGCCAGTTTCCCTGTTATGTAAGAGCTGGAAGTAGGGAGCTCACAAGGGACCAAACTTGTCTGCTGCTGACCAATAACAAAAGGGACTCAATCACTATCAGTGTGCTCCAGCATTACATAATGATTGGGGAAACACTCTCTAAAAGAAGCAGTTGATTTGAATACCACAAGGTTAAGTGTATTTACCTCTTGTGTTCTAGATGTCTTGTTCTTAATCCTATGAAATTATGCAATCGAAACTGTTTTGTGCAATATTTGAAATTCATAAGGGAAATTTTGATATTGTGTATACAGTCTGTTAAACTTTTTTTTTATTCCCCTGGTGGGATCTGATCTTTGACACTTGTTTTATGATGTATTGATTATATAGATTATTAAGGGCTTTTTGTGACAATATTAAATAAAACTGTTAAACTGTTCATATTTGGGTAAAAGTATCTCAATGTCATTTTCATAAATGGTTTACTGCAATAAGGTTTAATGATGTAATGTTTATCACACTAACAGTATGTTAATACCAAGTCAATATCACACCTCTGTACAGAAACGTTATATATAATAAATGACATTCAGAGAATAAAATATCAATGCCAAACCACCTTTATTTAAAATTCAGAGAACATGGTATCTGAACGACATACCTGTGGGTATGAAGACTTAGATTTAGTTTTGTTGAGGTGGAAGAGAAAGTATTAGAGCCTTTATTTTGGGCAGCTGAAACCAAGAGAAGTCAAGGAAAGAAATACTGAACTAAAAACTAAATGGTTTACGTAGCCTCAGCTGTTTAAAGAAAAATGATGACAGTTGTGTGTTCAGTCATATGAAATCTTATGACCATAACTGAACCACTTCCCTATTAACAGATGAATGACCCAGCATACCCTTTTTTTGTATCTTGTACCCACATCTTCACATTCAACAACTGCTACTTAAAATCTGTGAACTTTGACTTTATATCAAAATTACACTCAAAAACAAAACATGTAATTGCAAACGTATGTTTTACAAATGCATATGTCAAGTGCTTTAGTGATTTAGGTCTATATAACATTATATATCTTATTATATATTTATATTACATATTTAAGAAAATACACTGCAAATGTAAACATGTAAAAATAAAGTAGTAATTGTGAGAAATAATTACTAAACTGAAGATGATGAATAAAAACTTGAGCAATGCATTCATAAGCCACTATTAGCCTGGGACAAATAACATTTAATTATTATTATTTTATTTTATTTCACATTTTTCCAATGGTATTTCAATCACATTTTAGTATAGTTTGTCTATTATTTTTTTATTGATTACATTTATTATTTATTATTGATTAAATAAGAGTTTATTCCAGAAAGCTTTGCATGGCGTGAAATATAATCTGACAGTAGCTATTTAAAATGGTGAATGCTGAACACACCAATTTCGGTTCTACATACAGTTTGTTTGTGTACTTCCTTAATGATTGAAAGCTGCAGTAAATGTTCCACAGAGCTTTTGTTCCAAAATATAATCACAGACCACACCAGTGTGACTGATGGATGTTCTGAAAACATCATATTCAGAATCCACAAAATTCTCTTTTCTGAGAGAAAAACGATAATTAACCGTTTTACCACTCAGCATGACTAGCTCTAATATTAACTAAGAATTCCCCTTATCACATTTAAAAATTCTAAATGTAGTTATATTAATTTAATCACAATCAGCACCAGGTCAGCACAAATATTTGTTGAATCATGATGACTCATTTTATAAGCGAATAGCAAATGCTTCATGAAAGAAAAAATTAGGTCATGCTACCAATTGTTCCAGTTCCGCATGTGGCCTTTATAACTTTTGCCCAATGGTAAGAAATGTCATTCTAAGCACAACATGTTCATCTAGACCTAAACCTTGTAGCATACACTCTCAAAGCCAGATACCAGGCCAGCAGTGTAAGATATTTTAGTCATGTGCTTGCGTGCTCTGATGTTGTGTTTAACCACGTGATTACTTCTGTCTTCCTGTTTTCTTTGTACTATCATATATCATGTAATAAACTGTAATTATGGGTGTAGGTCTCAACTACCACGGTGTTATCAAGTCTTCTACATTCTTGTCTGAAATGAAAAATACGCCACTGTGCATCACTTGAGGAATAACTTCTTCCGGTGTTTAATATAAATTCCTCTAGATGGCGACCCAAACAGAACAAATGAGAAAGCACGTAGAATAAAAACATTCTCGTTTCCAATCCGTGTGAAACTCAACCTAGTGAGATTCATGCCTAGATAGCTTCTTGAAATGGAAGTGTATATATTACTAATCGTAGATGACATCTGTCTTTAACAGCTGTAGCTGCTGGTATCTCCTTTACAGTTACAGAGTAACTTCGCTGGTTTATGACGTGGAAAATCCCCTCAAACTATAATTCCACAAAACCTCAGACATATTTTTTAGGTTATTGCAAGTTGCCATGCATCTTACAATTGCATATAATTAATTTAATTATGTATTAATCAAAACATTACATTGTATTATTTTATTTACTACATAAATTACATTTTGTTTTTAATTACATTTTTATTTTGGATTACATTAAACATAGGTTATATATTTTTAATGTAACAGGGCGAAGCAAAAAGTAAGCAAAGACATCTGTGCCATATGACAATAGGCAGATTAGCATGTGATGGAACAAAACAAAAGCAAAGCAACCAGAAACTCACAGACGTTGATCATCACCTCCGCTACAGACCAACAGAAATGCAGCTTAACGAGAGTGCACAGGTGAGACGAGACGAGACACATGAGCACATTTTTTATTGTTTTTGTTAACTAATATGTATTTTATATTTGTAGCAAAAGTCTCTTTTGTCGGGGTTTTTCCCGATAAAAGTTTCTCTTTCGGTTTTAGTTTAGGTGGTGACATGGTTTTATGAGAACTTTTATTCAAAGAGATTTGAAAAATTTTCAGTGTTTTATTACTTGTTTATTGTAACTTTGAGTGTAACGTGAAAACGCTTCAAAATACTTTAATTGTCGTGTATATGTGTCGTGGAATGAATGATCAGGTGAAGTCTATCAAACACCAGTGTTAGTTTAATTTCCGTATTTTCCTTGTTCTGGTATGTGTTCTCTTGCTCCGTTTGAGTGGCTAAGCATTTTGCCTCATTAATACATCTGGTTAAATCTCATTTTTACATTTAGGGTTAAAACTGGAGTTGTAAAAACGGCCCCGGGATATAATACACGATGTCATGATACAGGAAGAATCAAACAATCGCTCTGGTTAATAAAAGTACAGCCCATTTTGGGGAATCTGTAAACACCTACTTAATGTCTGGATTTATTGTCTTATTACTTGGATTTCTTCAACCAATTTTACTACATTTGGACGTTTTAACTTCCTTTTTAGTCAACTTGTATATGTATATATTATCTGATAAAATTGGTGCATTTCAGTATCAGTAACTTACTGGCCGTTTTGCTCTTGTCAGGCATGATGCTCGGGAGCTTGCTGTTTGCCGTGTGTTGTAGCGCAGCACTGGCCCATTTTAACACAAATCTAGACCAGCACTGGGAGTTGTGGAAGAAGACACATGCCAAGTTTTACTCCAGTAAGGTGAGAATATGAATTTCAGCATCTGTCAGATGATCCCAATGAGGATTTTTCATCTACTTACAGATTCATTTTCATAATGGTCTTTTGACTGTGTGTTTGTGTTGTGAAACTATAAGTTTCACTACTAGTTTGAAGTGGTGTTGATGCTATTCATATATTGATTGAATTGTGTTGAAATGTTGGTCTAAACTGGAAGTATTTACAAAGGATATCTGTAATAAATGCAGTGATGGCAGTCTCACAACAATGTACCACATGTGTGATCCCTGTAATGTGAATGTTGTTTGTTGCAGGTTGAAGAACTGGGCAGGAGGGAGTTGTGGGAGCGAAACCTTCAACTTATCACCCTTCACAACCTGGAGGCCTCCATGGGCCTGCATTCATATGACCTGGGCATGAACCATATGGGTGATATGGTGTGTTTCTTTGTTCATGATTATCTCCATACAATAGCTTCCAGCTAGATGAGGTCAATTAAACATTTTTTGGTTCTATATTGGTTTTCTTTACAAAAATCATGACTGTTTTTGTAATTTTATTTATTTGTGTTAAATATCTAGAAATGATACAGCTGTACCTTTTTTTTTTCCTATTCTTATTTTCCCTGTTTGTGTCATTCACAGACAACAGAGGAGATCCTGCAATCATTCGCCACGACTCGTATCCCTTCTGACTTTAAGAGGCAAACAGCAAAATTTGTGGGCTCTTCTGGGGCTCCTATCCCAGACTCTCTGGACTGGAGAGAGAAGGGATATGTCTCCAGTGTGAAAATGCAGGTGAGAATGTACTCCGTTTGAAAGTATGCTAACTGATATCCACTCCATTAGCTGTGTCTGTTTTTAGGGCCAAGACCCAAAGGGGCTGTAGCCCCTATTGAATTTGTA